TAGTCACGGTACCTCCTGCTAAGCAGTTCATGGTTGTACCGCAGTAAAACGTGGATTAAGACGCACACTACAGGTTTGATCGCGGTGTATCGGAATAGAGCGTTCTCAAACCTTCTTCTAAGCCTTTTTGTCTGCTCATCGGGGCGCTCTTCCGTAATTTTGACTCCACGAAGACGTGTGTATAGCCACCGACTGCGGCTGGCTGAGGCTTGGATTCCTCGAAAACACCAACCTCATATGTGACGGAGCTTCGTCCCAGACTGTTGACCCGGAGACCAAGCTCCAGTACTTGGGGAAAGGAGAGTGGGGAAAAGAACTAGAAGCACGGCATGCTGAGACGTCAATGATAGGTAGTAGACAGCAACAAACCTGGCAAGACGAAGATACAACAAGTCCAATAAGAGGGGATTCTGCGGGGTTGATAACGCAGTGATTGATGAGGTAGTCGTTAATTATGGAGTCAAAGAGGTGGTAATAGATAGAGTTGTTGATATGAGAATACTGGTCATTGTCGCTCCTGCGGTAAGACGTTTAGATTATGAACCTCTGTATCACGTACTAACACGCACCATCGAGTCCTGTACGTCAAAAAGTAAACATAATCTGATTTCTTTCTATTCTTAAGGGACTCAGTAAGATTTGACGACATTTCGTGAAGATGATAACACTGCAGGACCAATCCTCTACTTTGAAACCCGTGATTATTGTCATTGATAGTGAGAAGTAATGCAGGACTGACCGAATATCATCTATCACGTCTTTAAGATGAACACCGTACAAACCCCACCGACCGTCGAACTTTTTGGAACAGTGGACTCGGGCCGGAATAATCCGGCTGTTCTTCCAGTTCTTCCACGACCTGGTCACGAAATTTGGTCCAGTTTCGACCTTGGTTTATATATGCTGCTATCTGGTGCCAGTCGAAGGAGAACGTCGAAGTGAATTACCTGCTCTCAACCGACTTGGGGATAAACAATTGGCATCTACCTGCTCTCAACTAAACCGGCGAGACCGCAGTGAAATGCAATGCAATGGTGGACACATATCAGGTGCACAATTCACTGAACAGCGAATCGTCTTGTACCGCCCCAATAGTCGCTCGATGAATAGCTCAGCCCTAGAGTATCTGCAGGGTTCGACATTCGTGGTATAAGGCTGAGGGAATCCAAGGCAGGGTCGTACGACGGTGAGCCTTGCAATATGCGTACGGACCTTCTTCTTGCTTAACGCGTTCCTTCCTCAGATTCTCCTCAGACTACTCCATGTATCTCATGAAACCGTTTACTTCTACGGCCTCGGTATACGGAGCCATGCCAGTAAAGATTTTGTAAGCGCATCTCTGTATTTCAGTTTTAAGTAACTACTGACAAATATTTTAACGTGCAGATATTGCCATGGCTAGAAGGTTTTGATACTAATAGCTCATCGACATTATGTTCGATGTCTACACGGTCCTTGGTCGGAAGGACCGTGTACTACATGATGACTAAACTTTGTAGATCCGAAGCTATAGAAAAGTAATGTGCTGCTCGACCATGTGCGACATATTGATTAGGCGCCCAGACAACCATTCTTCCCGCCTTTCCAGCACATGTTGGCTCAGTTTTAATACGTGATTGCACCATCACCTCATGGTTCACCTCCTGAGTTGGTCTCGATGACACAAGCGACATGTTCTGCGAGGTCTAGCCTTCACGCAATCGTTTCCAACCTCACTCCGCCTTGCTACTGTGAATCACCTCCATTGCACGATCGATGCAAAATCGGTGGGTAGATAACCAACCACAGATTTGGATACCCACCTCATGTATCTGTACCAAGGACGACTGCGGTGGTTTCTTGTTCGGGCCCCCCTTCGCTGGCCAAAGCATCGCTCCACTGCCGATGTCAGTGGGATGTGGGAAGCATCACCGTTCCTACCGGATCACACTGGCTGACGCTAGGTGTAGTCACAACACCGTCGAAATCATCATAGACACCATTCCCAGACGCAAAGGATGTCGTATCTCTTGTTAAATCGGCAATTTTCACACCAACTCCGACAACGGTCATCTAGAGCCCATCTAATCACAAAGTCGTCCCTAAGGTCGTGCAAGTTGCACTGGCCTTGGTAATGGTAACGTTGAGTGTCTCGGCCATCTGGTGGTTCCTTTACTACTTCTAATCCCGTATTTCGCCAACCATCTTCCATCGTTACTTGCTCAAATTCTTCGGCTGCTTGCGCGCCTATTTATTTTGGGATTGGCCATCGCCTGTGGTCTCTTCATTGTGAAAACCTCTCTCCGCCCTCCACTTTGTTTTGCTACCCTTCGGTGACCTGTGCGAACATTTCTGGATGGTAGCCGTCCTTGCCATCGACCTAACTGTGTCGTCGATCCGGTGGAGGAAGCAGTCTTGAGGCCAGGTCATGAAGGAGACAGATATGTCCATGGCAAATCAGGTGATCTTCAGTCTGGTCCGTCACGATTCCAGAGCAGAGCTCGATATCGCGCGTGCTTATTGGGGCCATGGTTGTAGAGTATGACACTTCGGAATTCATCGGTTCCGCAATTCTCTCTGTGGTGGGCCTGGATGTGAATACCACCCTCGAATATGTGTACGACGCTTACTCACTCTCGCGTTTTCAGGAATTACGGGCAATGGCACACGCAATGTTGTTCCCATCTGTTGACAATTTCGGTTAGATAGTCAAATTCCGGGGATGACGCAAAGCAGTGAGCTTCCGGCTGCTTTCTATGGTGATGTGCTATGGCTTGCAGACAAGGATTTGTCGTCGTTTTTATCCATCACGAAGCTTTGACTAATTTCCAATGGCAGTCTACTTCGAGCTCGCCTCGAGTTCGTTCTCGAGCACCGATGCTAGCCTCGAACACCAATCTAGCATAGTGAGCATTTTCCGTCACTTTTTGATTATTTCATTTCATGTTATGTAGACCTATGGTTCGCACTTCATTTGCATTCCTGCCGGACCATCTCTTATGGTTGGTTCTTTTTCTCAGCCCGATTCGTTTACGGCGTCGGGCGGGGGTGGTTATATGGAGAGAATATCCTCGCCATCCCACATTCCGGTGGCCTCCTGGCGAAACGGGACTTATGTTCTCCCTGGTCACTTGCACTGGCGCACCATCCCCGTTCTACATCATTGTTCGGTCTGGACTGGTGAAATGACCTGTTCATCAGCTCCCTCCTCTCAACCCATCCAGCCAAAAAATTCTAGGCGTTCTCGCACCGGCAGGAAGAAAACGAATCTCCCACGCGTCCCGCATGACGTGTGAGCTTTCATTCCATTCGTCGTCTTTTACAGTTCTAACTCTATTTTCGGCTGTCTTGTTCTAATTTCCGTCGATGGACCGGCCAGAACATCAGTGAACGTACAGAAGCAATGAGGACGTTGTTTACACATCTAGTACGCCGCCGTGTTGGGTTCTGGTGGACGATCAGCAGCGCGGCCGGACAAGCTTGGTGCATGCCACTGATGGCTGGAGGAGGATTGTTTCGTTGACGAGGTTAACAGTCCTCTGTTTCCTGGCCGGATGAGGAACCCTGGGGACTCGACGGGTTATCGCCGTCCTTAAAGGGCCTATGAGGGAACGATTGCCCGTCGGCGAGTTCAGTGCCCCCACAACCTATTCCTTCGCGTGCACGACGGGCGATTGCATCCTTTGACATTCTCATCGTCATCTGCGTCTTCCCGGTTTTTCAGTCTCGTCGTCAGCTTTGGGTTATAACGGATATTTGCCCAGGACATTCGTACGGATGGTCATCGCTTCGGATCTTCTAGACTTCATCTGTATTTTCGACGTGCATGTTTCTCTGTCGACATCATGAATTGCTTCGGTCCATGTTTGGCTATTGCTATAATTCTTACGCTTTCGGACCTCCATGTCCATCGGTGTTTAACTTCAGTTTATTATTATTATCATCTATGACTTCACTACTCCGTGTCCCAATTTTCTTTCGGTTCTTTGGAGTTCCTCTGGATCGAAATGACATCTTCGCGACCTCGAGTATCTCTCGTTCGAGGGCGTCCTATCATTATTACGATTTTACATTCCTCTACCCCGTTCCTCTTCACGGTTTTGTGGCGTTTATCCTTTATGCAGGTCCTTAGAATAGGTTCTACCCCGCCATTCGCGGTAGACAGCCACATTAGGTCCGACTGAATGCTAAGTGGTCAGCCTCGAATAAGTACTGACTATCGGCGCTTATTTTAGTAGCGCAGCCATTATTTCCTGCCTTCACCTCGCTTAACGGCCTGGAGTGATGCTGACGCGCTTTTTGATGGTAAAGTTGGAGCATTACCTGGTAGTCAACCCGTGTACATGCATTGGTGGATGGGCTGTAGAATCTGAAAGCTTAATGACATCGTCTAAGCTCAGGCTCTCCTTGGAATCGGGTTTCAGGCGGGGCCATTTCAAGACATCCCGTCAAGGATGGGTATACACTCAGTCGGTAGGATGCTGATAAGTATAGCTTACGTATCTTCATCGACCTTCAAGTGCGGACATTTCGTCCTGGGGAATCGAGATTGTCGTCTCGGAACGCTTCTGGAAATGAACAGGGTGCATGATAGATTTGAGAAAACAATCACGGACAGGGAAACACTGATCCTGGATCCTCTGGTCTTCGGTTTTTCCAAGAAGAGACATCCAATTTGCATAAAATTTATGAGATGGAAACTGTACGATGGGGGGCTATCATACAGCTTAACTCTCAACATCGTCGCTGAGACGAGGGACGGCTCCAACCTATGAGTCGCCGTCATAGAGTTCTTGTGATATTATGACAAAACAAGAATTGTTTCAGAATTGTATTCTTCTTTTACGTCGGGAGTTTTCTTATCTAATGAGTGCACTTGATTACATATTCACTCAATTTCCAGGTTTCGCGTGGCGTCTGAAACCCAGTCACTGGCCGCGTCTAAAACCCAGGAAAGGGAGTACTTGGTGCATTGGACGTTCCTTTCTATATGTGTATGCCTCCTCTCCCTCATTCCCTAAGCTGGGATGGCCGAGTCGTTAAGGCGAGTGATTTGAACGAACGTTTACGTAATCAATGATTACGTAATTTCCGAATTATCACTTGGTGTTTCACCGCGTAGGTTCAAATCCTGCTCCCAGCGTTCTTTTTGTGTCTTGTCATTTGCTCCTCCAGATTCTGCACTATGTAGCTGGTAGGGCTGCGCACGAAACCTCCAGGGGGAGCTTGATACCGTTTTGTACCCCCCCCTCCCTGGGGGGTTTCTTACCGGTACGGTAATTTACTGTTTCTTACAGGTCACGGGACCATTCATGTGACTGCCACAAAGCCATTTTTCCAAATTCTTCTGTACGACGCCATGACACTACGCTGCCCTATTGTTGTACCTCAAATACTCATGAATTCTGTCCCAATACCCATCTGAATTCTCTGGCTATGTCTTCTTATTTCTTTATACACATTTAAGTCTGAGAATCCTTCTCCCTGTCACGTGGTCGGCAAGTTACCCCAATGAAATATGCAAGGGGGTACTGGAATCATGGCCCGGCACACCGGGTAGGTAGGTAGGTCCAGCTGGATGTCATGAAAAAAAAAAGTTGACCCCCCTATTTGGGTCTAAAACTGAGGTTTTGAGGGCATATTTTTGATAAGTCTTGATGCAAAATATAGTAAAGTACATTCTATTTACCTTTGAGAACATAATACAGGAACTGGTATTCCGGACATCTTCACTGAAGCTTGTCAATGCTTACTGCATAGCGGTGATGTCATATGCTTTGATGAGTCAATCCTCATGATGTCATGCGCTTTAATGAACTAATTTTGAAGTCCGAGTCCAATGGGATACAGATTATGTTGAAAACATTGAAATATCCATTGTGCAGATACCTTTGCACAGAAAATGAACCAAAAAGTGCGAAAATAGAGCTATATTAGGCAATATGACATCATAATAGTCATGTGAAGGTAGGTAGGTCCAGCATAGGGCCGAGGGGAAAACCTAGGTTATTTACTGGATTTGGTTTTGTACAGTATTATACCATGTTTTATACCTGAGGGGTCAAGAGGTTGATTAGCTGTGTAGAATATCCTAGTCATGTGCCATAAAAAACCCGATATAGCAACATACAATAGTCATACAATTGAGCATTGAATCCACCGTTGATGCCCATTGCCCATTGATACATTGTTTAATTACAAAACTCCATGCCATTGTTGCCAGAGAAATTCGGGAAGCCTTGAAATTCATAGTAAAGATTAACAATGTAATAATAAAGCTGATATTCTCAGAAATTGAGCTCGTAGTGCGACTGCGACACTGGCTACAAGTTGTCACATCTCAATTCTCCTCCTAACAGTACACTAAGTCAATTATTTGTATGAAATACCTGTCTTTGACCAGGATGCGATGTATTTGAGCCTCAGGTGACTGAATTTGGCATCGATAACAGCTGGAGTGCTCAGTGCTATTGTCAATGGTGGCGACAAGGTGACAAACAACTCGAAAAAACAAGAAAAAAGCCATGGAATTCTGAATTTAATACATCACATGTTACGATTTATTCATCTTTTTCATTTTCTTATCTTATCTTATCTGGTCTCACTCCACTTTCCCATCATGAGACCCACTTACATTTGTAACCTTCATGCCATACAACACATGACCCTCTTGTTCCCATCTTTCCCATCTTTTTGTACTATTATTAGACCCAACATTTAGTATATAAGGATCGCTAAGTCTACCATGTAACCTTAGCTTCAAGCTATAGTTTAATAACTCTATCTTGCCGACTCACTCGCTGAAAGGCTATCCAATTGTACCTCATCCATATTCCGGACTATTACAAGGACCCCTAAGGTGACTGTCTGAACACAAGACAGCCTTAGTCTTACCTTTGTCCTCTGAATATCAGCCAGGGTCTAACAGTTAGCTTGAAGCTTCCCTTCTAAACCTCCTAATCGCTCGATGAAGGAGGCCTATGCTCATCACCCCAGACCCTACTCCACGAACCACCATCATAGTATCCACCATGCTAGGGACCATAATCATCGCCCTAGCAGCCATACTATTCATTCGCCCCCGTTACCAACAAAGATGACAACCCATTAGGACCTATCACCCTAGTCTCCTGCGATACTATGTCCGACCCTCCCGACCAACCACCTCAGAAGAAGGGGTTCATGCAGACCCTGAAAGACAAGGTCCTTTTGAAATCCACCAACGACGCAGCGTCGGTACAAACAGTCAAGACCCAGTCATCCCGTCGATCCTATCAGGGTCCCAAACCACCAGATCTGAGTCCTCTGACACTGCCACTAGAACCCCTCCTGCAATCCCCCATTACGAACCCTCTCCAACTGTCTCCTACGAAGACATCATCGAGGCATATGCAAGAGGATCCAACTTCGGAGTCACCAGCAACGAGGGAGATGATAGAGATGCAGAAGAATTTAGTCCAACAGAGCTGGACCTCGAGGTCACCAAGAGGAGACGAGAGGCCGCCGAAAGAAGAGAGGCCACCGAAAGAAGAAAGGTCGTATCACCCAGACCCGTTCTCCCGATACGACCCCCCATGGCTATCCTCGCCCAGGCAGGAACGAGAGGCCAAGACAGAAGGCCTGCCAGAAGAATATACCCTGACCTCCCCTTCCAGGAAAGAATCACCATACGAACGGAAGATTCCTCATCCCAGGCACCAAGCCCAACAGATGAGGAGGGAGAAAAGCGAAGGAGGCATAGACTTCAACTTGTTGATGCATACTACAGCTCAGCAAATCGTACTCAACTGGCAGGAGAGTCGAGCAAAAGATATTGGGACAGACTTCGACATGCCACATGGGCCCAGCAGGACGCAGTCACGGAGCAGCTCAAGATCGACTATCAGCAGTGGGAACAAGACTGACACCAGCAGAGATTCCAAGAAAACCCTTTCCACTTCGAGGGACCCAAGATGGAGTGGACAACTCTCTCAGAAAGAGATCGATTCACAATGGGACCCTGGCTTTCCTTTGCCTGGGAGCTCAGACTACAGGACTTTGTCTGAAGAGGGGGCCTACTGGTCTCCACCAACGAGTACGTGGAAGGAACCAACCCCAACTACCAAATGGTGGGAGGAACAAGGAGACCACTCTCTCCAAGGTCTATGGGAAGAAGAATCCATGAGGACCTTCGAAGGGAGCTACAGGGCCCCATTCCCCATGAATACCAGGGGATGCCACTCCGTCCCAGAACCAACTCCAAGCAGAGGGAGCTCGAGAGGACCCTGGATTGGGCCCTCACAAACCTCGTGGCCAACCGAGACATGGCCGAGAGGGTACGGGAACTGGCAGAAGGGGCTGCTCGCAGGGTGCCCACACCCGCTCCCCAACGCCCCCCCTCTCCGGAGGCAGGACCGAGCTCCCAGACCCGGCACCAGTAGGATATTCACTGGGGCAGGAGGAGCAGGGGCCAGAGAAGCTGGCCCCTCAGGAAAACAGCTGGAGCCAGTCAAATTGAGCTCGGTGGAACTAAGGGCCAAACAGAAGAAGGAGCAGGAGAAGGCCCAGGAACTATACGAACAAAGAACGGAGGCAGACAAAGAACTCCTTGATTACTACAAAAAGTACCCACACACCTGCCCTCCCCAACCACCTGGGGACCCAGGAGGAGACCCAGATGATGACCCTTGGGACAACCCAGACTGATGGTCCCTCCCCTGTCCTCCCCCAGACCAAATGCCCCCTGGGCCCCCACCAATATGGCCAGCAGGGAACGCCGCAGATGATGCCCCGTTCCTCAGAATAAAACCGACCCTTATCAAGGAACCTGCTCCCTACGATGGGACCCATTCTGAACTCAAAAGGTTTCTGTATCAATGTAGCAGTTACTTCGAGACCTACCAGATGTACTATCATTACGAGTCTCAACAAGTGGCCTACGCAACCTCCACCCTTGTCAGAACCGCCCTGGAATGGTGGGTCAACCTGGTTGACAACTTCTTCAGCCAAAACCTAGGAAGGTTTCGCTATCCTTCCTGGGAACGATTCGTGGAAATGCTCACCCAGTGCTTCACAGACCCGGCAATCCAAGACATCCACAAAAAAAGAATGATGGACCTCCACATGGAAGGGATGTCTGCCACCCAGTACTTCCAGAAGCTGGAAACAGAGGCAAAAATGGCTAACCGAAGAAGCGATGAGAGCCCAAGGGGCCCTCTTGTCACCATGGTATGATGGGGAATCCTGTACAGCTATGCCTGCGCAATTGCCGATATGGGATTCAACATCCCTGAAACCTATCTGCAATGGAAGTTCCAAGTCACCACCATGTATGAAGAACGACAAAAGTGGACACTCTTTGATCAAGCACATGGTGGAGATAGGAGGGAACCCAAGAAGTCTGACAATTGGCTGAAGGCCCAGGGACAGGGCAGCAGCTCGGGAAACGCCTCCACCTCTGAGAAGAAAACTGGGACTGGGACTATGTTCGGAGGAAGCAGACAACTGATGGATATAGACTGACTCAAAAGGGAAGGTCGGTGCTTTAACTGCAGAGAGAAGGGACACATGTCGAAGGACTGCAAGAAGGAGAAAAAGAAGAGGCTCCGTGAAGCCCACACTGGAAGATTTACCTGGGAAGAGCTAAGGGCCATGATCGATATAATTGATGAAGAAAAGAAGGAGGAAACGCTGAGGACCACCAAAGTTGAGGAGGTAAAAGATGAGGCCAACAAGTAAGCGATTCTACTTGTTCAGCCCAGGACTTTCAGATAGGGAATTTGAAGTTGAAGCCTGCAGTGCGGTCTTCTTCTTGTAACAATTTATCACGTATTCGTCACGTGCATTCGAATATACCCGATTTGATCACTTCCCTATCTGAACCTGAATCGCCTCCAAAAAACAATAAAAGCCCTCCAAGCCCCAAGAAACCTCCATCTTCCCTCCCATCGCTAACCATCTCTGTTCCAGACAACTGCCCTCCCACCGCCTCAGAAGAAACCCCTGGATCCTCTGCCCTCCGGTCGGGAAGGAGCTCTGGGCCATGGGTGCCATTGACCCCTGGGAGTAACAGGGGGCACGGCGCACATGATCAAGTGCACATGACCCCCTTGGTCTTCAGCCCCTTGGGACAAGTCATGAGAGACCCAACCCTGGTACCTCTGA